TATCCCTGTGGACAAATTGAGCTTGCTTAACTGGCAGAAAGCATATTTCTTCTGCTATGACTTTAAGTTCTTTTCCAAATCTACTATTATTTTTACCCTCCTCTTGTGTACTAACAGTTGCCTTTTAAGGTTAGATTTACAATTTTTAGTAAGTAGGGAAGTATCCACACAAAGCTTCCATTAGTTTTAACATTCATTTTTTGTTTGGGATCATGATGAGTGTTGTTAAACATTTTGTCAACTAAAACTTTGTGAAGAAAATGTTCTAAACATGTCATATTAAAACATCAAGCACATAAAAATCAGGCTCAAAATCAAATAATAAGCTTTATATTGCATAGACAAATAGTCTTTATCCTATTCTTTCATTCCATAACTAATCATTTTAATATCATTTACAATTATTATTCAAGTTCATGAAGCTATCCTCTGCTCTTAATTAATGAATACATTTCTTAGAAATTTCTAGGCATGTGACTGTTCAGAAAATGGTATTCAAGAGGTGTCAGCAGCTGAGCCAAGTGAACGTACGAATGTAACAAACTCCGTCAACTTGATCTTGCCCTGGATGATTCACAATGCACCTTAACATCCTGAAGGATCTGAGAAGCTCTGTTGGAAGAGAAGGTTTTTAACTCACAGGTCTCTAAACACCTATCATAAAATATTTTCCTTACGCCCAGTTAATCAAACCACGGAGTTGTGTTTCCTGAGTGTATCGGGTTAAATGGTCTTTTCTAAAATGTTATAACTATCTTCCTCTAGGAAGGTATAGAATCATAACAGAAATCATGACAGAATTTGGCAGACCCGTAGATTCAAATAATCCAAAATCAGTTATCCCTTTTGTTGTTCTGAAAAAAATGTTTATCCGTCTGAAGATTATACAGGCTGTCTTGCAGATATAAGAAACTCACTGGATATGAGTTTTGTTTTTCTAACTTTAGAATCTTTTCCCATATTCTGATAATGGACCAAAGTATTGGATTATGGGCCCAGCTGGGGGAGTGAGGCTTGCTGGTAACACCTGTTTTCTGGTGAGCCAGGTGGGGCACAGTGATATTGAGAACAGGCAGAGGATGAGTAGGGAAGTGGTCATTCCACCCACACTTTCTCACATGTCACAAAATGCAGCTGGTGAGTTCTTTCTCAAAGAAGGCTCCTGACATGCACGCTGATGAAAATAGTCCCCAGGCTTTGTGTGGGGTGTGTGCCTTCATTACTGACCCCTTCTTTAGGAAGTTCACAAAGAGGGTGTTCTCTCCTCTTGTGAAGTTGTGGGGAAATGAAACAATCATAGAATCTGCCAATAAGACAGGGTCCACACTTTTCTAATGCAATATCTGGAGGTTTCTTAAGGCTCTAGACATTGTATTACATTATATGTTCCATGTTTCAATGTGTACTATAGGTTGGAACACTAGATGTATACTAAAACTGCTGAATTTTATAAATTCAAGGTAGGTGTAGCTTCCCAAATGTCATAAATATACAGGGCTCTAACCTAAGGGTAGTTCTGCATTTGTTTTTCCATCTGGTTTGTCCTAAGAAATGACTGACTAGAATTTCTTGGAGTACACACAAGGATTTTGGTAAAAAGGTTATCCCTGAGTCAAACTTCATCAATATTTACAAACGAACCGTCTGCCTTGTGCCTCCCCCGACCCTAGAGCCCCTTCTTCCTGTCCCTGCCCATGACCAGACATACTCCAAGGCATATGCCCTGTAAGTTGTTTCAGCTCCAGAGAAACATCCTCACAACTTGCTCCACTTTTATAAGAATTCTAGTAACTTGGAGAAGAAATCATCAAAAAGAATTGATACAGCATGAAAGATTTCAGTTAAATGTTTTTAAAAACACATATTTTTTTCCTCTTAGAAACCTAGAATAAGGCCACGGACCTTGCATATTTCTAGGGAGCAATTTATCTTGAACCAAGTGTCCTAGAAACTGCAGCTGGTAGGACACTCCCGAAAGAGACACCTGGTCATGCAGACACAGCGAGCTCTACTGAAGGACCACACAGCAGCATCGCTCCCGCTTCCTCGTTGGTTTCATTCCTTCTCTCTCTCTCTCTTCTTTTCTTTTCGCTTCTTATTTTTCCGGCAGTGAGATTATGAAGTAGTTCCAGATGGTGAGCGAAGGGCCAGATTCAAGAAGTTCCTAAACTTGTTGGCATAAGATAATGTGATTCACGGGGACCCAGAGAAGCTCAATTCCTGCAGTCCTGCTTTCCGGTGAAACCGGAGAGAACCAACCAACAATGGAGAAATGAGTGCTGTGATTTGTCTTGGAGGCCATTTAGGTTGTTTATCCCAAACTACACTTTGATTCCAGTTATAGTTTAATTATGAGTATTTGTTCTCTAACAGAGACTAAACAAAGGGTAACTATTTTCTTTTATCTTTTTTTGTCATGGAAATTTCAGTTTCATGTTTGCTTCTCCTCTTTTTAAATAGTGTCTTATGTTATGTGAACATTCAGTTCCATTTCTTCCCGTGGCAATGATGTCCCTCAAATAAATGAACACGAAGAAAATTCAGAGGCTTTTATATGTGAGGAATGTATGCCTTAATAATGCCTCATACATTTCTTCTGGCTTTCATTACGCATGTCCGACAAGTCCCTTGGGTTATGAAAGAACTGCTACCAAGGACCTCTTGGCATCAAGCTTTTTGTGAATTTTCAGAGTGGGGGAAACTCACCGAGTTACCTTCCTCCAACTGTAGCTATCAACGTGTTTTCAATATTGATCACAAAATGTTAAACAATAAAGCTGCAGAAGTCACGTAGTAGTGTCCACTGGCTGCGTGTGCTTCACTTGACTACTGTTCCACAGAAGCAATGACCAATTCAGTCTTCTTGGTCTCAGAGACCAAATTCTTTATTGAACACAATCAGAATCGATGGTTTGCAACTTGTTCGATGGTAATTTAAGAATATAATTTTTATCAACTTTATTTGTGACTATTTATCCTGATATGTCAGCTTCATTGGATTTGAAGCTCCTCGCAGATACTCAAGCTCCTAGGAGGTGGTAAGGCACACTCCTGGGTATGCTTGGTGGGTCACAGAGGTGTGATCTTTGAAGGTGTGACCACTCAACCCTTCCCCTCTAGCTCTGTCCTTTGTGTTCTGCTTTCTGGCCTCAATGAACTGAGCGACTTTGCTTTTCCATGCCCTTCCACTGTGATTTTTCTGTTTTGGAATTGGTCTACCATGGACTGAATCCCCCGAAACAACGAACCAATTAAATCTGTCCTCCTTCGAACTGTGAGTATTGGGTCTTCTCAGGGATGGGAGAGCTGACTCATACAACATTGTTGAGAAGATTACTTTCTCCCGCCTAAAATACCCTGTACTATACTTGCTGCAGCTTTCTGTGGCAGAAAATCATAATTTCCCTTTGTAGCTGTAGCTGGATTCCCCAACGCTGCCTTCACCACCTGTGTGTGGGTTCTGCCTAAATCACGGAATGGTTATTGTTAACTCATCCATCTTCAGCAGCAAACGAAACTCACAGACTGGGCTGCAGTAAAAACCAAATCTTACATTACCAAAATTAATAAACCAAGACTGATACTGCTAAAGTTGAAAAACTGATCAATTAATTTAAATTTTTAAATATACAAACTACTGAATTTAACAGTTTTATAAACCTTCTATTATACCAGTTTCCCATAATTTTAAAGTTTAATTAATTAATGCTATCATGGGACTAAGTGTCTTAATTATCTATCAATTATATTATTGATCAGGTTTTTTTAATGATATTTTCTTTATCTACTTTAAGGGACCACTAATTTTCCTAAAAGATCTTATTTCTATTGTAACCTGGGCTATGTATTGGCTAATTTTTAATTTTGTCATGAAAATTTTTATATTTCAATGGACATCAACTAAGTTTGCCACACAGTTTCAACAAAGCACATCATGAACAACTGAAAAAAATTATTAAACAGAAGCAATATGAACACAGTATTATTTTATCATTGATAATCTGCATTCTATTCTATATGTAACAGGAAATGTAGATTATCTTAAATTAAGTTTTTTCAAAGGTTTATTTTGAGTCTTGGAGCTATTAAAGGTACTTGAAATTTGACACACTACTAGTGTGCAATTCTTACTCAAATGAAAAGCATCTCTGTTCATAGTTCCTATATTTCACACTGTATTGCAGATTATTAAGCAAAGAGTCAAGAACATTCACTATGAACTTACAAAATTTTACATTTAAAGATCAATTTAGTCTTTTACAACCTGCAAAAATGGTCGTGTCACTTAAAGATGAGTCTAGATTTTCTAAACCTAAAAAAGGCATAATAATATTTACCTAACAATTGTCATGAGAATTATAACACATAAATTTATAAATGCATATTATATATAAATTAGATGTACTTCAAAAATATATGGAACATGACAAGTTATGGTTATTATTAAGATTATTTCTGTGCAATAATTTGGCACAAAACTGTAGCAAAATAGTCACTAAATTTGAATTTCTGAAAAAGCAGATTCTTTACTGCAAGTGATTTATAACTTAGCAAAAGGTGTTATTCTTGTGAAAAAAAAAATGAACATCATACTTTGGCACTGACTTCTTGAAAAATATTATTTAAAAGCTTCTTTTGTTCCGTGGTGACAGCTATAAGATTTTAATATAATCCTTGAAAGAAGGAACTTTCTCATGATTTTTCTACTTGAAACACTTAAAGTACCATCAGATAAAATTTTGGAAGGAAGTCCCCCTAGCATGATGTGTTGGCAAGTGTCTGTAATCCCATATTCTGGAAGGCTGAGGCCAGAGGATTGCAAAATTAAACCCATCCTGATCCTTTCAGCATTTTAGCAAGATCCTGCCTCAAATTTAAAAGTGAATAAAAAGGCTTTGGGATGTAACTCAGTAAGAAGACCCTGTGTTCAATTTCAAAAGAAAGAAATTCGAATGGAGGGAGGGAGGAAGAAAGAGAAGGAAGAAAGAGAAAAGAGAGAAAAAGAAAAGCAGAGAAAGGGAGTTAATTTCCAAATATCTGAAATTCCTGTGCCCACATTTTGTACTTTGCACATATTGACATGAGAGAAAAGGGATTTCCTCCAACAAGGTCATATGCGTTAGACTTTTCTGGCACAGTAAAGGGATAGAATATTAAAAAAATAAATAAATAAAAGTGGCCCTTTAATTTAAAGGGCATGAAGAGGAACTCACAACTAATAAGAGTGGCTTTTTTCGCTGCCCAGTTATGTGGGTTTTGGGGTATATGTGACCTTTGATAGGATGTGGTGCTTAGGGTGGGCATTGATGATACACAAGGAGCTGATTGAAATTTCCTTTGCACACACTGGGAAAGGAAGGAGAAAATTGTAATCGGGGAAGAGGGAGGAAGTGGTGGTCAGGGTAAGCATCTGGGGTCTAGCCTTCCACCATGTTGAACTACCGCCATAATGTCCTGTAATTTATTCTAGGGCAACAATCTTTCAATGTGTACTTTAATTTAAAAAGAATGAAAGGCAGATATTGAACAACTCTCTTGAAGCTGTTTGTGTGTTTATTATTAATTTTAACCAATTGCTTTATGCATTCATTTACAGGTCCAATTCTGTGACATGGTCTTGCTGTATAGCCCAGGCTAGTAGGGCACATCCTAGGTAGCCTGGACTTGCCCCAAAGTCACCATCGTCCTGCCTCTGCTGGAAACAAATTTGCTGGAAAGAGCTCAAAATGTGGACTAACTTGGTCAAAAATGTTTTAATTTATGTCAAGTCATCCCCCAAAGCCTCATGCTCTCAAAGGTGGGCCTTTTGAAGAGGGATTGGATTTTTGAGGCTTAGAACAGACTTATTGTAGAAGGTGGGGCCTGGTGGGAGCAGGAGGATCACTGGGATCATGGCCAGAAGGGTTTATTTCATCCCCAGTTCCTCCCCTCACTCTATGCCTTCTATGCAATGTGACCTCAGAAGCTCTGTGCCCCTCTGCCTGCTGCACTCTCCCACTTTAAGGTTTGGAAACATCTACATAGGAGGTCAAATTAACATCTTCTCTTTCAAATTGTGAAAGTCAGGTATTAACTAAGTTAAACATTGTGTACTCGGTGTTCCTGACTATAATAAATATCTCTCAAGTGACAACCACTTGTGGAGGTCAAAGCATTGGGGATGCAAGGACAAATAGAATATACAAACATCCATCTTTAAGATAGTGTGTTCTGATGACAAACGCATAAGAAATATTCATAACACACTGATACAGAAAATGTGCATAGCACATGCAGACAGTGAAGGTTATCCCCAAACCTCCTCAAAGTCTGGTGTGAAAATTCTTTGCAGAGATGAGATGATCAGAAGAAAATAGGACATTGATATTTCGAGTCCACTGCTTTATAAAGGAGGGATCCTTCTTCTGCTAAAACTTTACTTGGTTACTGGAACCATCAGGGACCCTGTTCTAGGCAAAGTCCACTTGAACAATGCTGGTTGTAGACACAGCCTGCTAGAACTTGCATAAGCTGAAAAGCAAATCTTCTAGTGTAAACAAGCTGGCCTTTTGTTTTCCAGAGAATTTTTTCTTTCTACCACCATTCCACCCTGAATTCCTGTGAGTTCATCAGATACTAGTTTTGCTGCTACTCTAAAATGGATTGGAAAACAGTTTTAGGAAACATGATGTCTGTTCAATATCTTTTTATTTATCCTTTACTTTGAACTAAAAGTTATTGTGAATAGTTTGTGTTTCTGCTGTTTTTAATCCAATCCCTTTATTTTGTGTAGATTCTTTTTAAATGCAGTGAATGAATCATATTTAATATTTATGACTGAAACCATTTCTGATGGACTTTGTGTATTTTAAATTGTATCTTAATGGAGGAAGCATGTTCTTATACACAAAGAACTGTAACTGTGGCAATTTGTCTATATACAGAGCTCATTTTATGTTGCCAAACCTTTGCAGCCTCTTCAAATTGTCAACAGGAAGTGGGAGTTCCTCAACCACAAGAACTTTGGAAGTGATAGCATTTGGAGAGGACGCTGAATGGGATTCCCTAATGTCTCTTTTCAGAGTTGGTAACTAGGGTGGTGGCCAGAGAATTCTTGATGCTGAGCCCTCAGGTCTGGATCGTGTTTCCTTTTCTTTAGCTTGCAGTCTGAAGTGAGCAGTTTTGAAGATACAATACAAAAAACATCTGTTTTCAACTTTTTAAGCAAGTGAAAGGAATTTCTCACTGAATGTTGGGTGGGCTTTTGTGGTGAAATAAAGTTAATTTTTGTCGTTCTATGGGTCATGCTTTTGTACAGAGATAGCTGTTTTTGAATTAATGCAAAATAAGAAATGCAATTTGTACATTAATACCAACTCTGCAACTCAACAAACAGACTACCGTAATTATGGGAGATCAAGTAGGTCTAAAACACCTGCTTTCATTTGGGCCCTCTAGAGGCAGATATCAACACAAAATTAGAAGTAAGTAATTTATTAGGTAAATGCCTGTGGTTGATAACAGTAAACAGGAAAGGAGACTTTCAGACTACAATGAAGACTTAACATCAAAAATGAAGAAACGGAAGAAAGAAAAGGCTCTTGTAAAAAAGATAATCGGACTGCTGTTCAGCTCTATGGAAATCTTGCCCAGACCAATAGGAAAATGCAAGAGCTTTTGGCCATGGGATGCACTGGTTGAGAAAGCTAGACTCCAGAATCCTTGCAGGCGGTATCATGGTCTATTAGTGGTTTATCCGGAACACAGCTTCTGCGCATGCTGTGGGAGGGTCTTTCAGTGGGGTTATAATAGGATGTGACCGATAACTCTTCTGAGCAGATTTCCTGCCTACAGGAACTCTAAGTGGCACTCTGTCAGGAGGACTGGTGTTTCACAGTATTTTGCTTTTCAGTATGAAAATCTCACCTATCAAAACAAACAAGCAGACAAAATTTTTCAAAACTGTTGTACAATACACCAAATAATTATTTGACATTTAATGGAAGAAAAACTTCAAAGGCACAAGAGTTAACCACTTAAGATTGACTTTTTTAGTGTAAAATACCTTATTATTAAAGTTTTTCAACAGGAATATGAAGTTTACAAAAATAATTAAAGATAAATTTTATTTGGATAAAATTTAGGATTTTATTTCATCATTGTGTTAGAATATAAATGAACATAATTATGAAACAGGAAAGGAAAGCCTTTCAGACTAGAATGAAGGCTAGTACAATAATCTGTACTAGGTAGGTTGGAAATTAGAGAAAGTAAGATAGACATAATAATCCAACCTAGCTGAACTCTTCATGCATGTCAAGTAGAACATATTTTGAAGGGGTAGAGGAATATGACTCATAATATGTAATATACAAAGAGTATAATAGAACAATTCAGAAAAAAATTATAGGAAAAGTGTTCAAAACTATTACTAAGGGAAAAAATAATGAAAACAGTGAAAAGTCCTTTCCTATTGACAAGTATATATACCAATATTTTAACAATTTTACTCCTGAATATTAGAATTATAGTTCTGTTTCTTTAAATTTTATACTTATAAATGTTCTTCAGAAAAGATGAGTTATTCTTGTAATTCTGAGCAGCAAAGTTATAGTGTTTAGGGCAATTGCTAAGAGGCAAATTCTCCCATGTGTAAACACACAGACACCATCACGGTCCTTACAACAACATATCAGCAAGAAGTCAAGCAGAGAAACACATGTGACAAATCATTCTTGCATTCTTTAGTTTGTCTTGTAGAGCCCAAATTGGCAGGTGGAAATACGTTTATGTGTCCCATTTGCATGCATGTGTGCTCATGTGTGTGTGTGTGTCCAGTTTTATATTGATGAAGCTTCTATTTGAAATGCTAAACATCCTCAAACTTCTCAACTATAATCCAGAGCCAAAGTACTTTACTCACCAATAGCAAATTCCATTGAGTCTAATGTGTGGTCATGTACTCTCTGCAACGTTTGATCTTTACATTGCATTTTTCTGTGTTTTTACTTATTTCCAACTTGGGTCTTACTCTGTATGTTCAATATGTATCAAGAAATAGGCTGAAAGTTGTAGAAAAGAAATAAAGAAATACGATTACAATGGGAAAAAATCAGAAATAATTTTAACTGATCATAGGTAGAAAGTAACATTTTCATATAGAACAACTTGTTGAATAAAACGTAGAAATAAATAATGACAGAAAAAGAAGTTCCAGACCATTGTGATTAAATATATCTGGCACACAAAAGGGAAGAGCAATCTAAAAAACAAGTATTTTTAAGTTTGAATATTTTCTGACACTTCTTCCATTAGTCAGTTTTTGGTTGTTATGGTTAAAAACAAACAAACAAACAAACAAACAAACAACCGGAGGGAGTTTACCCTAAGATAAAGAGGCCCATGGTTTCAGAGGTTTCAGTCAATGGTCAGCAGGGTCCACTGCTTTTAGCCTGCAGTGAGGCACAATCATCGGGGTAGAAGGGCATGGCAAAGAGAAGCTGCTAACCTCCAGGTGACTGGAAGCAGAAAGTGAAAGAAAGTGGCAGAGAACAGTGGGTTGGGGTCATTCCCTGTCCCTAGTGATCTGTCTCTCCCAAATGGGCTTCAACTCTAACGACCTGATTGAGCTTTGAGCTCATTCATCAACACATCAGTTCATCACTGAAGTCAGTGATCCCATCAGCTCTCTAGGTGCTGTGCTACGGATCAAGCCTCTGGGCTTGCATCTTTGGGAGACACTTCACGTTTCAGTCATAATGCGTTCATCTCAACAGTACGGTTATGCCTTGTGTATTTGCCACTAAAAATACTTTGGATGCACCTACAATGCCTAAGTGCCTTGGAATGTGAGCATCAAAGTGAGCACTGAAATTTAGAGCAAGGGGCCCAGTTGGTATTTGAGACAAGCTTAGCTGAGTGGGAACACATGCATCACTGTTCAAAGTAGACTAAAGTGGTTTATTGTGGAAAACAATGCTTAAAAAAGTTTTTGTCACTAATAAGGAGTACACCTAGTAGAAAATACACCCATAAACTGACACCCCTAAGAGTACTACTCATTCAGAGACAGATGGAATTGTATTTAGCATCTTCTCTTTGATAGAAAAAATCCTATATGGGAGTTAATAGTTTTTCCACATTGGGGTAAACTTAAATGGCTTTAGAGGCAAAAGCTTAAGAAAGTGTACAAATGTGCGAACATTAACAAAATCCATTTGCCTTGCTCATTCCTTTAATACAGACCTCCCTGTCATGAGTGTCAATGTACACAGAGTAAAATATAAATATAACAATTAAATTGGTATATTCTGCATGCATAATTATATCAAAGCAGGTCATTAATGTGATACCTCTTAAAATGGACTAAACAGTAACTTTGAAAAGGTTTATAAAAATACAAAATGCTAACTTTATGAGATTCCAAATGTCCTAAAATTCTTATTCCAATATAATATTTCTACTTTAAAAATTCTGCCATAATCTCAGTATTGGAAGACTGAGGCAGGAGGATTACTATGAGCTTGAGGCCAGCCTGGGCTATTTAATGGGACCTTGTCTCAGAAATAGAACAAAGCAAAACAAACAAACAAAAATGCTGTAATCTTGGGGCTGGGGATTTAGCTCAGCAGCATAAGCACCTGCCTTGCAAGCAGGCAGTCGTGAGTTAGATCCCTGGTACCAATAAAAAGGAAAAAGACCAAAAAAAAAAAAAAAAAAAAAAAAGCTGTAATCTTAATCAACTTGAAAGTTAAAAATCTGAACAATATCAGAATATTTAGTGGGCACCTGAACTTGTCCTCAGTGAAGCTTTAATTATGTAGAATGGAAGAATGTTCAGGGCTGGATTAAAAGATCTTGGTAAGAAGTTGATTATCTGAGTAATGCTCTCTGCACAATCCCTGAGTTAGTGAATTGTTCACACTCTCTAACCTGCTCCATGTTGCCTAAGTCTATTACTTTTCCTGTACAGGAAAAAATCTGCTCCTTGGAAGCTAACATCCAAGACTGTTATCACCTTTTCCCCCTACCTTTTGTCTCTGGCTTTGCCAACTTTCTTAGTTTTTCTTCTCATGCATCATTTTTATCTATCTCTGCGTTTATCCCTACCACTGTGCTGCTCTCTGCCGAGGAATTCCCAAGCTCAGTGGACAGCACAGCCAGTCGCCCATTTCCTTTCCATGCTAACCTCCTTATGGTCGAGTTCTTTAATCACCTGGAAGCTCAGCCATCACCAAACCTGCACCTTTGACATGATTATCTTCAGAAACTGTCTAAAATCTTCAATTTTTTCCTGTTACTTCCTCAGGAAAGTCTCCAAGATTCAGAAATAAAGAAAGCTTACCGAAAAATCTCAACCCTATATGTCTTAACAATCTTAAAAGCTATGAGAAAGAATAGATAAATTACTTACAAAGAAATGACAATTAAACTGACAGCTTCAATAGACACCAGAAACAAATGGAACAGTGTTTTCAAAGTGCTAGGGGAAAATGCTTGTCAAATTCAACTTCCATGCTCAGAATTAGTGAGTGACGATTAAATAATGATACTTTTATACATACCAAGGCTGAGAGCTGCTTTGTTCCCAGTTCCTTACTAAGTGAGCTACCATATTTCACTGGATATATGATGTTACCAAATGTATGATGTACCAATAGAAGAAAAATACTGTTAATTAAATTTGGATATGCTGTTATTTATAAGATTCATCCCAAGTTTCAGAGCTAGTAAAATATGAAAAATTGTCTCTTTCAATGACTTTTTAAAAAAATGAGTAGAAGAAGCACTTTTAAAAGGAATGCTATATATTCCTTTTAAAAGGAATAATATATAGGAAATAATATTGAGCAAAAGAAGCAGCAAGTACACTTGTAAGAACAAATAGCGTCTAAGGATCACTAAGAATAAATGTAATGAACTAGATTTAAAATGAAAATGCAGGTAAAATGGTAGTCAGCAGTAACATGGAAGAGAGAGGAAATATCCCCTTAGTGACTGTCTGTTCCTTACACTTGAAGGAATAGACAGCATGATTCTTGGTCATTGTTGAATATGTTAAAAATATTAAGAGAAAACTATATGCAAAACTATATGCAAAAACTTTTACCATGTTTAAACAGGTAAAGTAAAACTATCAAGTCTTTACTCCAGTAAAAGAAAATCGTTAAAAACTTACACTGAATTAGTTCTTTATACAACTGTACATACACCTACAACTATATGTAAATCTCAAAAAATAATGAATGGAGAAAGTAAGCTGTAGTATGATGATGATTGTATAAATATAATGTTTT